GTGTTGTGAATTGTGAAAGTTAGTGCCTGTTTTCCTGTTTTATGGATTTGCTGCACGTATATACTTCTTTCTCTCCCTCTCTTTCCCAGTCTTTTCATTTGTTTCTGGATCTCTTGTTTATTAGAAAATATTAGGAAGAGCATTCATGCAAAAAATTTGCCAGAAACCAGAGCGTCTCTTGGTAGAAATTAAGCAATAGACCCTATGAGGTGGGCACATCTTCTTTGATTTTGTACTTCCCTTTTTTTTTTTTTTTTCAGAGTTAGAACAGTGGTTGTTATTGGGGAATTAGATCTGGGTAACTTTTATTTACAATTTTCTGCATCCTTTCACTTTTATCATTAAAACAATAGGCATTGCTCTCCTAAAAGTAGTATAAGTAGTATGTCCATTTTCTTTTTTTCCCGAACAACCTTCTATTGAAGTATAGTTGATTTACAATGTTGTGTTAGTTCCAGGTATACACAGCAAAGTGATTCAGTTATGCATATATATGTGTGTGTGTGTGTGTGTGTGTGTATGTGTATATATATATATATATATTTATATATATACTCTTTCTCAGATTCTTTTCCATTATAGGTTATTAAAAGATATTGACTATAGTTCCCTGTGCCATACAGTAGGTCCTTGTTGTACTCCCCTGACAATTGCAGAGAACTAGCTCAATTCATGCTTGTTGAGCACTAAGTGAGTGGAAATACTTGGAAGCACCTGTACTTATTCTAAGTAACTTTTTCTATAGGTGTTTCCCATTACCTGATTTTTAAAAAATTACGAAGGTGTGGAATATACAGCTTGCAGTCTGTCTTAATTTTATTTTGTATTGCTAACAATGATGATTTTAAATATGGTACCTTTTGTAAGCTAACATAGCTTTTCTGCTATTGCTTATAAATATTTTTCTCAGTATTTCCTGGAGTGTTGTTTCTGTAAGACTGTCAGGCCTACTTTTTGTACCTATCACTACCTGATGATGATGGTGGCTGTGCTTTTCAGTCATTAGGTCAGTGTTTTCCTCATGTATATTTGGACCATTTTGTTTTCCTGTCATTCTTCAGGTGCTTCTTAAGTGCTTATCACATATGTTCTAGAAATCAGGGGTAAACGTGGCAAATGTGTGCACTTCTGCAGTTTTTATGTGTGCATGGGTATTTTTTGTTTGTTTGTTTAACTGGTCAAGTGCCATGTGTTTTTGCCTAACACAGTGAATATTTTATATCAAGCCTGACCTTCCTGCCTGTAAGAATGTCTGGTTTATAATCTGGTTTTCACCATTCATATGTAGAGACTAGGGAGAACAGGCAGTTGAGTGAAATAGGAGAACTCACTAACCTGATTATTTGGCCAGGTGTCCACTCACTGTCACATTGCTTCATATCTTAAATCATGTTGTCTATTTTCTTCCCTTTTGTTCTACCTGATTAGAGAAACTTTCTTAAGAAAAACTAAAACCTAAGTTCTTTCTGGCCTGCTATTATGACATTACTTATGCCTCTTGTGACCTCCTCATGTAGTTTTCATTAAAAACCTCTGTGAGCCATTTCAAATATCAGTCCTTTGGCTTCCACGACATAATATTTTGGCTTTCTTATGAGTTTGTTTTAAATCACTCTGACTGAAGATTAAAAAAGTAAACAAACCGCAATCCATTCTTCCCCACTAATTTAATGGCTATTTTAATAATATAAAATTTTTTAATTTATTTCTCAACTTTATATTCTGACCCACTGATGTGTCCATTTCTGAGTAAGTCACAGTTATATGGTAGCTTTTTAAACTATAAAAATGCCTTTTACCAAGAAGTGCAGGTTGTGCCTCATTACTCTTTTCTAGAATGTCTCAGGTCATAGTCACAGATTTGACCTTTTTATCTTTAACATTTCTTTTCACCTCAATTTCCTCTTATATTGTCCTTCTGCTTGTTCCTTAACTCTCCTTTTGACTGTTTTCTCCAGACTTCCCATCCTTCTCTATTTCATTCCTCCAAAACTTAATTTTACATTGGGCTTTTCCCCTAAACTTAGTTTTCTTTTTCAGTTAGGTCCTTTTGGCTGCCTCACTGTCACATCAAATAGCCTTATCCAAGTTTACATTTATTACTGCAAAATGATTCCCTTCTCAACTGAACTGCACTGTCTATGTGTATTACCACCACCCCATTAGACCCCTGGAATCAAAACCCTAAGTCATTCGTACTTTAATCCTTTCTTCTATGTCAAGATATTTCTCGATTCCCACTGATGCTTCATGAAGCATCTCCTCTCTCTCCCTCCCCGTTCATTTCTCCCACATGAATCATATTCCAGGTCATGTCACTTTATACCTATATTATTCACACTCCTTTTTAACTGACCCTTCCCTGTTCAACTTATTTTGCATATGTCTGTGAACTTCATCTAATAACAAACTTTATGTTACTACTCATTTTAAACTGAGAATCTCATTCACTCATTCCCTCTTCATCTAACAACAGAGAGTACCCATTAAATGCCAAGTAAGCTTCTCAGTGCTGGGCCTGGAAAAGTGAACAAAACATGTCCTGGTCCTTGCTCTCTTGGAGATTATGTTATAATGGTGGGTGGGGTGAGGAGGGAGAGGAAGCAGTAAATGAACAAGGCCATTCTGGTTTGTGAAAAATACTATTGTGTGATAGAGTGTGGAGGTACAGTGGGAGTGTTGATTTAGGCTCTGTGGCCCAGAGACTTTGTGGGTGTCCCAGAGACTTTTATTTGAGCTGAGAAATGAGGGCAGCTGGGATCAGCCAGGTTGGGAAAGATAGGAGAGAATAGATAAGAAAATCCTGAAAAACATTTTAATGAGTGAGAGGCTTTCATGTCTCCCCCATAGTAATAGATAGGATAGTCTTTAAAGTAATCATTGTGTACAGATAAGAACTCTGTACACGATCACAGTAGCATCTCAGGCATCATGCAGAGGGGGAAGGGATAAATTATTCACAGATAGAGCTGAGGAAATATAATATGTGTCATTCTTTGCTTGGTTGGCTGTTTCTTGGAGGCCATTTATGCCTATGGAACAGGGAATATGTAGCAAAATAAAACTTGATATAGGTGAGAAATTCCATCATTGGAGTGATTTTTTTCCATTTAATATTCAGATTACTTAATTTATAGTTTCTATTCTCTATTCAAGAGCAGCAAAGAATTTGTTTTGACCAACTTATTTCTGATATTTTCCAGAAGATCTGTTTATTGGAATACTGAGATAAGGAGGTCAAGTTTCTATATTTGATGACTAGAGATTAAGTCCCAAATCTGTCCTGACATCTCAGGCTTCGAAATACTGCTCATAGGCATAAGGGGTGGGACTGGTCCATGGCTTCCAGGGTGTGGCTAAATCAGGCAATCACCAGAAAGACAAGAAGAACTAACTGTAAGCAAAGTCCCATAGGCAGTAAGAGTGGGACAAAATAGCCTTGGATTTAGTTGTGTTCTTAAAGAAATACAATTTTCAGAAATTTCCAGCTTCTTTCTTAAAAGTTCTTGATGTGGGCCTGTGAGAATCTGAGGTTTGACTGGAACATTGGAGTTTCTTTAGACACTATATAATGAGCCATCATATTCTCCATATGAAATTGTATTATTTGGTGATCCCCATGGTAATACAGATGTAGTTAATCTCTTTTTATTTTGTACAAGGAAATCATTCATGTATTCATTCATTTTTAGAAATTGTGTCCATTATCCACTCTGTCATTGGTTCTATGATCATGCATATGTTTGAAAAAATTGGATGTTCTGTTAATGCTGTGGCTTTGTTACATGCCTTGTAGGAAAATGTTTATTCTTTATGCCTCTGGTCTGTTTCAACTAAATTTGGCTTGGTGCTTGGCTGTTAGCTACAGGCATTCAGTGATGTTTATCCTTATTAAAACTGCTTTTGCTTCTGAAATTTTACATTGTTTTCAAAACCACCTTGTCGCAAACTCAGAAGTCTGTGGCACTTAAAAGACTTGCTTAAGTTCTTGACATTTACACTTCCTCAGGTAGTTCTTCAAATTTTTAATAGTTGGTGGTTTTTTTGGGTTTTTTTTGGCGGTACGCGGGCCTCTCACTGCTGTGGCCTCTCCCGTTGCGGAGCACAGGCTCCAGACGCGCAGGTTCAGCGGCCATGGCTCATGGGCCCAGCCGCTCCACGGCATGTGGGATCTTCCCAGACCGGGGCACGAACCCGTGTCCCCTGCATCGGCAGGCGGACTGTCAACCACTGCGCCACCAGGGAAGCCCAATAGTTGATGATTTTTTTCTGTCTCTGAGGAAGGTATCTTCTTGTAACAATTTAGTTCTCCAGGGCTGTGGTCTAGTTACTTTGTGTAGTATTATGGTAAAGAGCACTCAATGAACAGATAATGATAATGTTAGAACTTTTGGCTCAGTAATGAAAGATAAACTATATAGCCTACATTATAATTGACTGGAGCAGGGTGCTTTATAATGTTTTCTGTATTCCCAGAAGCATGTGATATTTACTAGCTTTACTTTTATTTTTATTACTTTTGTAGTTTGCATGATTAACTTATCAGTGTCAGAAGTACTAAAATAAGTCCTGATTTTTCAGCATAGGTGTAATGAAACAAATATTGTGCTTAAAATGACAATCCTCCAATTAACATTCATCAAGCATATACTCAGGTATTTGCTAGGTGCTCGGCCAGATCCAGAAGTAAATCAGACGTGGCTGCTGACATCAGGAATCTTTGAAGTTGTGTGGGAGATTATACCCTTATGAAATAGAACTTGCAGAGTGACCTGCATGGCTTTGCCTAGGGCAGGAGGAGCAGATACTTTACTAAAGACACCTTATCACCAGGGTCCCAAAGTTGAAATTCATCCACTGGTTAAAAAAAAAAAAATTAACAACTAGTGTGAATACTGGTTACATTTAAAGGCTGTCTCTAATGTTTATGATGTCTTACATTTTTATTTGAACTTTTCTTATATATGTTAATGTAAACTCTTATGTTATTTTCTCCCTAGTTTACTAGAAAACGGTCAGTTTGAAATTGTGACAGGTGGCTGGGTTATGCCTGATGAAGCTGCTCCACATTATTTTGCCTTAATTGACCAACTAATTGAAGGACATCAGTGGCTGGAAAAAAATCTAGGTATGTATTCGTATCTTTCTCTTTCATTTGGACTGCTTCAGAAAATTAATTTTGGGGAATGTGAGATGGGGCTTTTTTTTTTTTAATAACTAATTTTTCTAGCACTGATTATTACTGAATAATTTATTTTTTTATTGATTTATGATGTTTCTTGGATCGTAAACTCAGTTACATAGATATAATATGGTCACTCTTAGGGTCATCTACCCTGTTTCACCTATTTATCAATTTTACCTATTTATTAATTTTAGTATTTTTTTCTAAAACTATCCCCCTGGGATTTTAATTATATATTAGTTAAGACACTTGATCATAAAAGGCAAAAACCTAGTTTACTAGCTTAAGCAAAGAAAGAAAAAAGGAAAGAAAAACGTTAGTTTTGTCATTGAGAATTCCAGAGATAGGGTAGCTTCAGGTAAGGTTGGATCCAGAGGACTTAGATTATGTCGTCGGGATACTGTCCCTTGACTCTGCCGTAGACAACCAGGACTCTGATCTTCTTGGTCTAACAATTAGGAGGAGTTTTCCTTAATACCTTACCTAATTGACCCACTTTGGGTTAGGCGCTTATCTTTGAGCCAGTTTACTGAGGCCAGAGTTAAAGGAGCTGAAATCACTGAGACCTGGTTAATTTGATGGAAATGATCATGTGGGGAAAGTGGTTTGGGGCAGGGTCAGCCTTGCCTGAACCATGTGAATGGGTCCTCCATGGGGAAGAAGTATCCTGTTACAACAAGAAGTGGGGAAGGGTATTCTGAACTGATAAAATCAGATGTTCATACAACTCATAAGAACATAGGACTACTCGAAATCTTTGTGGTATCGAATATTTGCATTCTGCAACATGGTATGTAATTGTTTTCAAATATTTCATATCTCTCAGTACAATTTTGTAGTTTATGGTAAATATACATGTTTTTATTGAAGTTATTTCTAAATATTTTATTATTTTAAAGTATTCTTCTGTTAGGGATAAAATCCCCCCACCGCCATTAATATTTTTTTCACTTTTTATTTTGGAATAATTTCAAACTTAAAAGTTGTAGGAATACTACAAAGAACTCCCATAAGGCCCCCAACCAGATTCACCAGTCATTATTTTGACACATTTGCCTTATTTTTTCCTCTTTCCATATTGTTATTGTTGCGATTGTTATAGAGTAAGTTGCAAATATCATACCTGTGCTGAAAAGAGTTAACATAGCAGATCTGAAACTGCTATCCTTAGAAAGATCTTGCTTGCAAAGTTGGCTGTTGGCTGGTGTCTGAGGACTTGGATTTCTTAAATGATGAGTGACTCACTGTGTTTAAACTGTACAAACAGGCAGTGTATGCTAAACATTTGTTTCCCTTCTGGGAGTCTAGAATCATATTATGTACTAGACAGAGGGTGCCTGCATGACCAGACCCCAGTAAAAACCTTGGACACTGAGTCTCTAGTGAGCTTTCTGGGTTGACAGCATTTCAGGTATTGTCACCATTCACTGGTGGAGTAATTAACTCATCCTGGGTGATCCACAGGGAGAGAACTCTTAGAAGCTTGTGCCTGGTTTCCTGTGGACTCTGCCCTGTGTGCCTTTTCTCTTTGCTGATTTTTCTTTGTATCTTTTCACTATAATAAATCAAAGCTGTGAGTATGACTATATGTCTAGTGCTGTAAGTTTTCTTAAGTCGTGAAATCTGGGAGTGGACTTGGGGACCCCCTACTCAGTGCCACTTTTCTTAAATAATTATATTCTAAGCCAAAATATTCACTTTATAAACCTCAGTTTTTGTGGATTTTTTTTTATGTTTAGCTTTTATGGATGTGTAATTTACATGCAGTGCAACACATAAATCTTAACTGTAGAGTTTGAGTTTTGACAAATGTAACTCTGCACCTTGTAAATTAGAGTAGTGTTCTCAGTTTTGTTTAAACAGTTTAGAGCAACATGTTGTTTTGGACACTGTTTTTACATTTGGTTTGGTATACTTTTAAAATTGTTTAGTCTTTGGTGGTTAATTTCTGCTTTTACTAACTTTATTATATAAATTTGACCATTAGAAACTAAGTTTGAGTTTTTAAGGTTATCTTTTGCCTAAAATATCAATTTTGTAACTGTTCTCTGACTCCTCTTAAGCTTTAATATTAGATATATTTGGAATAATCCAGTTTTATTAATTATATTATTCATGTTGCTCATGTTCTAATTTTTAAGTCTATTAGATTTGCCAAAAACTGAATGATGTATTTTACTCTTTTTAATGATTGTTTCCTGTAATTTTTCTTGTTTTTACTTTTTTATATTTTGACAGTCTTGTTCTTACATGAAAACACAAAATCTTTCCTGGTTTTATTGGCATACGTACCCTCTTTATAAAATTTTGGATTTTTCATATACTGCATTTCCCCCCTAAGTTTGTCACTTGCCCCCTTTAAAAAAAAAGATTCGCTTATACCAAGGAAAATCCTAGAAGGATACTGGGATCCTCTCTATGTCTCTCCCTAGCTTCTACCTCATTTCGTATCAGTTTTTAAAAATGTAGTTTATGTTCTTTCTCTTCTACATCATTACTTCTCAGGGATTCTTTAATCTGTTGCAGCTAGCTTGCTATTCCTGTGTATCAGGTGATTTTGATACGGAAAAGATCATCAGTGATGATGAAGTCTCAGGCATCACTAACTTTTCATGTTGATTTTTATTCTTGTTTGTAAGCTTATTCTGTCCTAGTTATTTGGGACAACACATACTCCTTTTTTTTAATTTTATAGCTTAATTTCATTTCATTTCAAATTTATAGAGTCGCATGATAGTATTTGAGAGGGGCTCCTATATATCCTGTAGGGTTGGCCCTCTGTATTCACCAGTTCCATATCTGATGATTCAACCAACAGTGGACAGAAAATAATTGAAAAAAAAATCTGGAAAGTTTCAAATAGCAAAACTTGAATTTGCCATGCCTGGCAGCTACTTACATAGTATTTACATTGTATTTATCACTATTTACATAGCATTTACATTGTGTATTATAAGTAATCTGGAGGTGATTTAAATTATAGGCATACCTCATTTTACTGTGTTTCACAGATACTACGTTTTTTACAGATTGAAAATTTGTCACAGCCCTGTGTTGAGCAAGTTTGTTGGTGTCATTTTTCCAACAGCATTTGTTCACTTTGTGTCTCTGTGTCACATTTTGGTAATTCTAGCAATATTTCAGACTTTTTCATTGTTAATGTATTTGTTATGGTGATCTGAGATCAGTGATCTTTGTTTCTATTGCAAAAGGATTATGACTTGCTGAAGGCTAGCGATGCTTAGCTGATTTTTAGCAACAAAGTTTTATTTTGTTTTGGTTTTCTTCCAGTTTTATTGAGATATAATTGATATACAGCACTGTGTAGCTTTAAGATATACAGCATAGTGATTTGACTTACATACATCGTGAAAAGATTATCTCAGCAAGTTTAGTGAACATCTGTCACCTCATATAAATACAAAATTAAAGAAACAGAAAAAACAATTTTCTCTTGTCTGAGAACTCTTAGGATTTGACTCTCTTAACAGCTTTCATATATAACATACAGCAGTGTTAATTATATTTATCGTGTTGTACATTACATTCCTAGTACTTATTTATCTTTATAACTGGAAGTTTACCTTTTGCCTGTCTTCATTCAATTCCTTCTCCCACCCTCACCTCTGAAGTAACCATTGATCTGATCTCTTTTTTCTATAAGTTTGTTTGTTTTTGAAGTATATTTGACCTACAGCATTATGTTAGTTCCTGTTATACAGCATAGTGATTCGATATTTCTATGCATTTCAAATTGATCATCACGATAAGTCTAGATATGGCACCATGCAAAGATATTACATAGTTATTGACTATATTCCCCACACTGTACATTTCATACCCATGACTCATTTATTTTGCAACTGGAAGTTTGTACCTCTTAATTTCCCTCACCTATTTCTTTCCTCCTCCCAGCCCCCTCCCTTCTGGCAACCACCTGTTTGTTCTCTGTATCTATGACTCTGTTTATGTTTTATTATGTTTATTCGTTTTGTTTTTTAGCTTCCACATATAAGTGAAATCATTACAGTATTTGTCTTTTTCTGTCTGGCTTATTTCATCAGAAATATGTCCTCAAGTTCCATCAGTGTTTTCACAAATGACAAGATTTCATTCTTTCATATGCCTGAATAGGATTCCATTATATATATATATGTGCGTGTATATATATATATATATATATACACGCACATATATATACACACACACACACCACCATTATTTTTATTCATTGATCCATCTGTGGATACTTAGGTTGCTTCCATATCTTGGCTATTGTAAATAATGCTGCAGTGAACATGGGGGTACATGTATCTTTTCAAATTCGTGGTTTTGTTTTCTTCAGATCAATACCCAGGAGTGGAATTGCTGGGTCATATGGTAGTTCTCTTTTTAAATTTTTGAGACTTCTCCATACTGTTTTCCATAGTGGCTGTACCAATTTACATTCCCACCAACAGTGTACAAGGGTTCTTTTTTCTCCACATATAAAGTATTTTTTAACTAAGGTGTGTACATTTTTTTAGACATAATACTATTGTACAGTTAATAGACTACCGTAAACATAACTTTTATATGTACAGGGAAACCAAAATATTGTGATATTCGCTTTATTGCAGTGGTCTGGAACCAAACCCACAGTATCTTGGAGGTATGCCTGTATACAAGAGGATGTGTGTAGGTTATATGCAACTACTACACCATTTTATATGACTTGACATCCAAAGATTCTGGTATCTTCAGGGGTCCTGAAACCAATCTTCCCTGGATACCAAGGGACTCTAGTTAGATTCCCATATGTGTTTTTCTGAACCATTTGAGAGTAAGCTGGAGGCATCTTGTCTCTTCGTCTCTCAGTACTTCATTATGTTATTTCCTAAGAAATAAGGATGTTTTCTTAGATAAGCAGAAGATAGTTATCAAATCAGGAGCGTTAGCAATACTACAATCTAGTTCACAGGTTATATTCAAATTTTGTCAATTGTCTCAATAATGTTTTTTAATAAAGACTGCTTTTTCCCCTCCCAATCCAGAATCCAACCTAGGATCACGTATTGCTTGTAGTTGTCATGTCCTTTTAGTCTCCTTAACCTGAAACAGACCTCAGCCTTTCTCTGGATTTATTGACGTTGATATTTTTGAGGAGTGCAGACCTCTGTTGTAGAAAGTCTCTCAATTTTATTTTCTCTGTTTCCTTATGATTAGTTTTAGGTTATTTATCTATCTGATCTATCTATGTAATCTAACCTAATTTATTTTGCAAGAATATCACTGTAGTTATTTTCTGTTTTCCTCAATGCATCCTGTCAGAAGGCACTTGTCATCTCTTTGTCCCCATATTGGTGATGCTATTCTTGATCACTTGTTTAAGTTGTGTCTTTTAATTTTCTTTACTGTACTGTTACATTTTCTGCCTTTCAAATTAGTAACTAATTTGTAGGACATACATTGAGAATAGGTAAATATCCTGTTCCTCATCAAACTTTAATGTTTTAGTTTTAGGATCCATTGGTGATTTTCTAATTCCATCATTGCTTCTATAATTATCAGTTAGTATTCTATTAATACTAAAAGGAAGAGCTTTCCTTTTTATTTTCAATTTATTTGTGAGCTCATGGGTTCTTATTTTATTCAATGGGCTATAGTCCAGTACTATTAGTATTTATTTTGATTCCCCAGTTGTCCTGCATTTGGCCAGTGGAAGCCCCTTCAGCTATCTCCTGATTTATTTTTATATGTTCCCATGACCCTTTGACCATTTCTTTAATTTATGCCCCAAGAATATGTTCCAGGGTTATCTTGTACTTTCCTAGCCTCAGCCCTGGAATAAGTAATTTCTTTAAGGTTATTTTTAATAGAGCATGGCATTTAGAGGTCAAAGTCTGGGATTGAAGATAATGTTGTTTGGTACTGAGGTGTTATGGCACTGAGCTAAGAAATGTGTGTGTGTGTGTGTGTGTGTGTGTGTGTGCATGTGTGTGTGCATGTGTGTGTATATGTATATATAGAGAGAGTTTGTTTAAATATATATTTGTGTGTATATATGTATATTTATTCATGTTAGTACTACTATCTCCTATTTCAACTCAGTATCATAGGGTTCTGCTCTTTCATATTTACATACTCTATAGTTCCTTTTCTTAACGGTGTAAAACCTGGCTCCTTTATTCTAATTTACTCAGTCTTGAAATACATGAAAGTTTCAGAATTGCTAAACCTATACTACCACAAAAACCCAAAATTACTAGAGTTCAAGATTTCTTTATAATTTTTTGGAGGTAAATTACATATGTGAAATGGACAAATTATATGGTCACTTTGAGTTTTGACACATACTCTTGGTCCTCTGACAGTTCTGACTTTTCCTTCTCAGTCTCCTTGGTGGCTTCTCACCTCGGTGTTAATCTTCAATATTGTTCTACAGAGTTCTCTCTGTTCTCTTTTCTGTTATCCTGTGTTACACCTATTTGCATCATAATCTCTGCAACTAGAATCAGGATCAAGACTGACTCATTTTTGTAATCCTAGGGCCTCTTTTAGTCTTCGGCATATGAAAGGTGCTAAACAGGTGTTTGAGTGAAAAAAATGTGCACAATTCTATACTTGTGTCGATTTATAGGTTGTTTGTAGAAGCCTTCTTTGAGAATCCTGAATAAATAAAAGATCAGATTTGTATAATGCCCAATGAATAATCTTATTTCATTAATTCTAATCTGTGCATTTATTATGTTTTTTATATTTTATCCTCTGTGAAATTGAGATGTATCTTTAGGGCTTCACTCTTAGAATTGGTGTGAGTCAGGTGTGAAAAATTCTGTTGACCCATTCTTGGTAGAAAGCACCAGCATCAAAATGTCTTAAGATTTAATGAAATATGGTACAGTTACTTTGGCCATTTCTGCTACTGTATATGATGATGATTTGGGACTATTGTAAGCTATACAAGATAGTTTAAAATCCCTTAATGTTGGGGTTGGGGAGTGCAAGTTGAAATGACTTAGGTTACTTTTCTGTATTATGTAACAGGGAGTTGCTGGGTTATGCGTCTCCACAGAAGACAGGACTGTTAGATCCTAGAGGACAGTGACTTGGTCCTGATTCTTTCTCTGCCTCCACTGAGTGCAGTAGCTTTCTAATATCTATCAGGTGGCAGAGTGCTTATTTCACCTCCAACTGATTAACTTCCAGTGTTATTCACCCTGCCCGGGAGAACACAGCAGTGGCAGTATCCTCCTCTCAGGGAGTCCTGCTGGGAATGCTCACTAAGGGTAATGCTGGGCAGCCCCTTTATTTTAGAATCCAGTAGACCAAAAGAACTCTGATGGGTCTAAATGTGTTGTGACTTCTTCTGTTTCATTTATCAATTTAAAACAATAACACATTTTCTTTATCAACAGGGGTGAAACCTCGGTCTGGCTGGTCTATCGATCCTTTTGGACATTCACCAACAATGGCTTATCTTCTAAAACGTGCTGGATTTTCTCACATGCTTATCCAGAGAGTTCATTATGCAGTTAAAAAACATTTTGCATTTCATAAAACGCTGGAGTTTTTTTGGAGACAGAATTGGGGTACGTAGGGTTTGATGAAAGTTGAAGATCTCACTTGACCTAGATGTTATTTCACAGGGGTTATGAGCTCATGCTGTTATGGGTTTTATTCAGAGTGTCAGTCTTGAAAATATGGTTGCCTAAAGATACACATAATTGTTTTTTCAATGTATTTGTGTCAGGAGTCTTTTAAGCATTGGTGAAGATATTTATCTATAGAACATTGTAGATTTTTAAGCCTAATGGAAGTAAATAAATACAAGTAATTAGTCTCTTGCAAGTAATGCTTTCACTTGCTTCTCTTTTAAAAAGTACCTGTTTTATCACAAAGTTGTATGTGCATTAGAACTAATGTCCAGTCATATATCTCTCATTCAGCCAGTGTTTCTTCCTTCTGTCTCTCCTGTCTCTGCATCTAGTAAGAGTTGCCTTTTAAAACCTTAATCCTGTCCTACTAGAACAGCTCTCCTATTACCTGTGTCGCTTGTTTTCACACTGTTCTGTGGGCACGCAGGTGTTCTAAAGATGTACTTCTCCAGCTCTTTGCTGGGGCAGAGGTGACAAGATTTAGGCCTCCTGAGAGGCCTTTGCCTTTCCCAACCCCCATGTAATTCAGAACACCTTATTTTCTTACTTAATTTTATTTATTGAGTCCTTATTATTGGCCATGCACGGTGTTAGATGCTTTATATTCACTCTTTCATTGAATCTTTATAATTCTTTAAATTAGTTCCTATAATTATCCCTTTTAAATGGTGAAGAAACGGAGGCTTAGATATGTGAAGCCATTTGCCAAAAGTCATACAGGTAGTGGGTACAGAGCTGAGATTTGAATACAGTTCTGTGCTGTTCCAAAGCCCAGGTCCCTAACCCCTAGTATATACCACCATCAGTATTAAGTTCTTGGTAAAATCTCATCCAAAAAAAGGATTTCATTGCTAAGACAATGTTCAGAAATCACTACATGACATCATACTTGCTTCTCTGTGTAATCTAAGACCCTCCTGAAGTGTTTCGGAAAAGTCATTTGTAAATTTAGATGGTATCTTTATGTGTACTGTTGTTTTTTTCAGTAAGGAAACATATTAGCTATATAATTTTTTATCCTGGAAAATTAAACCTAATCTGTAGAGAAAACAAGAGCTTGTAGGGGATTGCATCCTGTATACTTTGATCAAATGCAAAGGAGCATACTAATTGTTTTATAAAAAGGATTATTAATTTGAGGAAGCCCTACTTAAAATATTGCTTACATTCAAATTGCCCGTAAATATCTATCACCAGGAAATTACTGAGTACTTTTATGTACTTAATACCATGTTAAGAAGAAATCTTGCTTATAAGAAAATTATAGTCTAATTTGATAAAAGACAAACACCACCAAATACAGCAGATAAACTGAAATGTGTAAATGAGCTGCTAAATAGTATGACATGAAGAGAGGTAGTAGGATGTGGAGTATGTCCTTGATTCATAGCAGAAAGGAAAGGAAGTTGCCATAAGTCCTGGGACTATGACAGCCTCTGTGCAGATAGCAAGCATTAGCGACCAGCATCCATGATGTGACAATCATGAATGTGATTCAGTGAAACAACTTACAGCACACAAATGTACAGATTATAATAGCTTTAAAGTTTGGAAAAGACCTGGTAATTATTTTAACTAAATGGAGTGTGAGAGAAAACTGGAATATTTTAAGACTTACCTGATAGATTTGGACATGTTGCTTTAAAATGATGTTTTGGAATCAAGTAGAGCTTCTTTGTGTGTTCTGGTTCTTAATGAAGCAGTTGTTTTCAGTTTTTTTAAATGTACATGTTGCTTGTTTGTTTTTTCTTGCTGTCTGTCTTTCTTATAAAAGCAATGCATTGCTGAGAATTGGAGATCCATACATAAAGGGGAAGAGGTATTTGCAGGTCAGAATCATAAAAAGATACCACTTTTAACTCTTATTGAAGTCCTTCAGCCTTACTTGGTGGGAGGCTTTTGACCTCTGGAAAGCAGTGATATCAACATATACTGGCATTGAGGTTTCAATTAAAAACAATTCTGTGTCAGGAACCAGTGCTCGTTTTCTGTATCTTTTTTGTTTGCTTTGTTTTGATTCTTCTTTTTGCTTTTGAAAATTACTTTTACTTTTCCTCTGCCTCCATGGAGAAAAGCATCATTGGCTCTTTATTGGTGAACATCAGGGTGACTCCACAAAACTCTCCTGAGTACACTTCTTTCTCATCACTACAAAACCAGTATTTCCCCAGTATCTTCACAACCCCCTCCTTCTTCTTCCCTTATTCTTCCAGATCCCCTTTTTACTCCCTTCCTCTCTTCTCACCTAGTCTCTGCCGCTAATGGTCTCTCTCAGAGTGTCCTGTTACCTGAGGTGGGAGCAGTTGTGGCCGGAGCTGGCAGCCAGGGATAGACACGGCCATAATTTTGGATGAGCTGGTTATAACTTTTGCTTCTGCTCAGTTTATATCCTTCCAGGTCAGCAGATGCTGCTTTATGGTGGGGCTTTTCTCTCTCAGCTAAGTTTAGATAGAAGAGGTAGATAGACAGATGTGAGTATCCTCCTTCTGGCTGGTGGTCATTAAACGCTGCTTGGGTGTGTGTTCTAGTAGTTGAAGGGGTTGTTGATTTAGGGTGGAGCTTGCATTATGTATATATAAAGTACTGGAAATTTGAACAGTTTGGGGAAAACAAAATTTATAAATGCAGGTCTGTTGGCTCTTTATTTTAGATCTGGGATCTGTCACAGATATTTTTTGCCACATGATGCCCTTCTACAGCTATGACATCCCTCACACTTGCGGACCTGATCCTAAAATATGCTGCCAGTTTGATTTTAAACGACTTCCTGGAGGCAGATATGGTTGTCCCTGGGGAGTCCCCCCAGAAACAATATATCTTGGAAATCTCCAGAACAGGTACGAAAATATGCATTTTGTAAGACAATATCTTGAACAAGCAAGCATCAGTGGCTTGTTGCTGAAGGATTGAATAAATGGTTTTTAGTAGCCAGCTTATCCTTGTTCAAGGTATTCATTCAAACTAGATCTAAAGCAACTTAAAAATACCAGAGCCTTGACTATTTGTCTTGTATGTTATAACTTAATGGAAAGTGAACAATAGTAGATTAATATACAATGGATAACCTATAATACACTGTTATTACTGTCTCCTTTGCCCTCATTATAAAAGCCTTCTACTGTGTTTGATTGATTTCATATACTTTTGTTGATAATAAAACTTACGGTCTCTATGGTATAAATTGGTAAGAAAAGCAGCCCAACTGCAAAGACACATTTATTGAAATGGAACACATAAAGAGTGTAATTATCTGTTCCCTTAACAACAATTTCAGTAATAGTGAATGCTGCCCAGCTCTGATGAATACACATCTGCATCTTTCTGATGTTTTTGACTTATAGAAAACTTTAATTAGGAATATTTATACTTAAAGATTTTTAAATAAAAATCAAAGGAATGAATTTTTTTTTTTTCTTAGAAGAAAACTGTCCTAATGATGGAAGCATCTCATTAAACCAAGCTACCTATACTTCTAATTCTGGTGCTTTTAAAGTTTAATTTCTTCACTTTAAAATTAGTGGCATGTAATGCATTAAAATAAAACATTGTGTTGTAATATAAACCACTCAGCTCTGCTAGAAAAATAATATAGCCTTGTAAGATCGTTGCTCTGGGCTCAAATCTCTTTATTTTTGAGCATATATATATGTATAACTGATTCACTTTGTTATAAAGCAGAAACTAACACACCATTGTAAAGCAATTATACTCCAATAAAGATGTTAAAAAAAAAAAAAGAATTAACTACTAAAAAAAAAAAAAAGGCTTTTAAAAAAGTGTGTGTGAGGATGAAGGTGGGATTGGGTCTCTTTGCATTGAGTGTCCTTGTGGCCATAAAGAAAACATTCCAGTGTGAGCCGCTCACTGGCAGACAAAAAAGTATTTTAGCATGGCAGCCTTCTTGAAGCCATGGATCCTTTGTATCAAAATCTGGCTTTCATAGTTGTTTTGAAAAACTGTCCAAGGTTTGGGATCAACCTGGTTTCATTTTCTTGATTCCTAGAGAAGTGAGGGTCAATGGGAGACCCTGAACAGCCTGCTTTCTAGGGTCAGGCTACTTAGGCTAAGAGAGTAATCCAGTATATTATGTAGCAAAAGGAGCAGTGGAAAGGAAGTGGTGGTGGATTGGGGCAGTGTGTGTGTGTGTGTGTGTGCATGTTTGGGGGGGGGGGATTCTTGCCTGTCTACTTGGGAAAACAGCTGTAACTGAATGGTATTTACACTCCTTTCAGCTCCAGTGGTCAGGGATAGGAGACTTTTTGAAGGGTAACCGGAATCCCAGTGCACTCATAGATATTTTGAGGCCCGTTTTTTTCTTTTTTGGGTGCTCCTTAGAGTACCTGAGAACCATTTTGTGTAATCCCGTCGCTGTATCATAGAACCCTTCAAAGATTACCCCTCCATCCCCCCAAGAACACATCTTGTGGTCAGTCAGTTCCAGTGATTCTGAAAGTGGTTTCCAGGCACCTGGGGCATACGGATGAAAGAATCTATGTAATACCTACATAGTTTTTTTTTTAAACTTCTTACAAGTCTTGAAGTCTTAGCTCTGCTGGTTATTCCTGTGCAGATATCACCTTCCTTTTGAAGTTGTGATGAACAAAGATCAAACATGGGCATTCCAGCTTAATGGCATTTGATTTTTTAATTCCCTAAAGAAAATGAAATTTAACTATAAGGTACAGGTGATACATTTAATAAGTTCAGTTTATCAGGTTCCTCTACTTTGCAGATAAAGAAATACCATTCTTCAACAAGTTCAGTTTTTGTTGTAGTACCATATATTTTACATATGATTGATGATTCACATGTCAGGTGATTTGATGTTTCAGGGAATTCTTTTTTTCTTTGTTCTAGTTAAGTTGCTCTTTCTTACGTGGTAGAATAAATGAAGAGAATTGCAGCTGTGCATCTTTAAATGTGATGTTGGTCAGTACATTTGTCATAAGTTTACTGTGCATTAGTGAGTACCCACTACCTGCCAGGTGGGTTAGGTTGGTCCCTTGGCTTTCCCAGCATTGACACTTTGTGAGCAGGAGCTTGGGAGTTAGTTAGGATAGATGCTGAATAGAAAAGGCACTTCATTAGTGTCTGTGATTTCTTTCCTCTTATGTGTTTTACACATATACATGCAAAATATGGTATATCTTACAGTAGTAAACCTTGGGATGCATTTAAATGATCACATACCCTTTTTTATGCTGGTTGCCTGGGGGATCTAGTTGGATGCTCACTCATACTATATCTTGTATCGGTGATTTATGTGTATATTTTTTCCTCGTATTTCTTTGGTCTTATATATCTTTCTATGTGATTAATTTCATTGTATGTGTGTTTTTTAATTGTAAGTAATAATCTAAAATTGTTTTTGGAAAATGTGTAATATTAGTAAATTACTAGTAAAAATTAAGTACCATATTGAATGCTAATCTCAGAAAACTAAGTATTATATGTTATATAATTGGGTCATTTGTAGAGATGTGGATGGATCTAGAGACTGTCATACAGAGTGAAGTAAGTCAGAAAGAGAAAAACAAATATCGTATATTAACGCATATATGTGGAACCTAGAAAAATGGTACAGATGAACCGGTTTGCAGGGCAGAAATTGAGACACAGATGTAGAGAACAAACGTATGGACACCACGGGGGGAAAGCGGCAGGGGGTGGTGGTGGTAGTGGGATGAATTGGGAGATTGGGATTGACATATATACACGAATATGTATAAAATAGGTAACTAATAAGAACTGCTGTATAAAAAAATAAATAAAATTAAATTAAAAAAAGAGAATATTACGGTTACATTTTACCCAAGTTATTAAATTTTTGCTAATTTAATATTTGCAAAATATTAAATTTTTTAATATAAATATAAATAGAGACTATCAATATAAAAAGACTATCAATATAAAAAGATCATATGAGATTCTAAATTTAGTTAAATTTTTTTCATAATTTCTACAAAATGCCTCTTTCCATCATTGATATTCTTTGAGATTTCTTCATAAATTTTAATATTGTGAATTAGAATCTAATTCTGGATAATCCTTGAAATGAAAATTGGAATAGTGTGTAAAAAAGTGTATTTGTCATTTATCACTGTTTTTTTAAGCTTTGGCATTAGAAATATGGAGAACTACTCTGGGTTCATCTGCTTGTTTAATTTCACTTTCAGAAGCGCTTCCTCTTAGTTTGTGTTCCCAGACTTCCTCAAATGGTTCTCCAATTCAGCATCTCCCAAAGGGTTTTTTACAGAATACGAGAATATGAAATATATGAAGCACAGCAGCACGTTGTGTTTAGCTGACCTTTTGAGTCATGGGTTAGTGCCCAGAGAGATAGAAACCAAAATAGCTCATTCAACTCCTAAGCTTTATCTGTTGATCAGTATTAAGAAGGACACCGTGACGAATACTCAGATTATTGACGGAAGGTGTTAAGTGAGTTGATTTTCTTCCTTTAGAAAAGGAAATATGGTTCTATAATTGGCTTCATTCTAAATACCTTTTTATGTTTAATTAGGCAATTTTAGATTAAATTAGAGAAAGGGAATTAAGTCAAAGCAAACTTCAAAGTTTATATAGATGAGAAATCCTGTCTTCTTGGACTAAATTGTTTTACGACAGGCTATCTGGGAGCCAATCTCTGTGGCTGACCTTTAGGAGGGCATTGATGCCCCCAGTAATTATATGCCAAAGTTGGTATGTGACTTTATTTCTCTAAGGATATTCCATTGGAAAACTATGGGTTTTTCCCTCTGATAAGAATTTATGAATATTTTAAATGGATAAAGAAAATCACTATGGTCGTTTAAAAAGCCTGCCTCATAAATTATGCCAAGATAGAATATAGGTAAAATACACAATATTTTAATATAATACACTTTTTAATGAGTTACCCCCTTGTTCTTTTCTTAGTAGTATTTTCCTTTTTTCTTTTGTAGGGCTGAGATGCTTCTAGATCAGTATCGAAAGAAGTCAAAGCTTTTCCGTACCACAGTTGTCCTGGCCCCCCTAGGAGATGATTTCCGCTACTGTGAACGCACGGAATGGGATCATCAGTTCAAGAATTACCAACTGCTTTTTGATTATATGAATTCTCATTCTCAATATAATGTTAAGGTAATGAGAAAATATTTTATTATGAGACTGTATTTGAAATTGACCCTTCATTATTAAAAGAGGCTAAAACACAATAGCCTTAGTTTCTTTGTCCCACATCCCAGTATTTCGTAGAATATGTAATTCTTCTATAAAAGTATAATTCATGAAGAGGAAAATTATCTTATATTACAGTTCCATTTCTAAAGTTGTCCCTTTCTTACCACTCATTGAGGATTAAAGAGGCATTACTTTATGTAGTTGAAAACATGCACCTACTAAGTTGTGATGTTCATTTTCCAGTGATGCCCTGTTTTCCTTTCCTGCTGAAAGTGTGTTGTTTCTTACAGTTGCATCCTGTGATTTAGTAGTGTGACTGGCAGATGCACATGTCAAGAGTTTTGCAAACAAACGTCTTGTATCCAGAGACTACAGTAGCGTTTTTCTTAGATGAGAAGGCTTCTAAAATTAATCATTTGTCTGTCGTTCTTGCTCTTTCTTCCCCCCTGTGGAAAATCTATTATGTACCCTGAAGTTGTGAGAATAGTGTAAATTCCTTCCTCCACCCCACTCCTGCTTCCCATATCCATGACTCAGCTACAACATTCATCAACTCAAGGTCACTCTTGTTTCAGCTGTGCCCCACTGTCATCTCACTCCTCTCTCTAGAATTATTTTGGAGCAAATCTCAGCGGTCATGTATTTTTGTCTATAACGATTTCAGTATGTATCTCTAAATGAAAAGGACTCGGTGTAAAAAGTATGATCGTAATACCATTATCACATCTAAAAAATTAAAAGTAACTTAATATCATATATCCAGATAGATTCAAATTTTCCTGATCTCACAAAAGCATTTTGTTTTCTTTTTAACAGATGCGTTGTGTAAGTTAGAATTCAAACGAGTCATATGTTGGACCCTATATGAGAAAATGAATTATCCAACAGTTTATTATATTCACATATGAACCTTGAAGACAGTAAAAGATATGTGAAAATACCATAGAGAGGAAGTGATATACCTGGTAGGAAATTAGAAAGGTGATGATATATCACCTTTTATGTAGTGAGAATTCAAATTTATTAAGTAAACTTAAATAATATTAAATAAATAAATATACTTAAATAAAATATTGAGGTTATTCAAGATACTTAAAACTGAATTTCTACCATGTTATAAACTCTGAGCATCGGGCCTATATTTAAATCATCCCTGTAATCTCAAAGATAAAGTGCATACATGGACGTTTGATTAGAAGAGTCCGTATGTATGTGGGGATCTTATCTCATTATCTTCTTGGGGAATGGTTTTGAGGTCTGCAAAAGGATCCACTGCATGATTCTGAAGAATTTAATCCTGCTTTTAGTATTTTACCTATTTCCTCCTTTGTTTGCCCACTAGAACAATTTTAAAGTAATTTAAAAAGTTGATGTATCATATACATAGAAGTGTGCAAACCACTAACTATACAAAGAATATTTTCAAGTTTTAAAACCCCCATGTAATATTAAAAAAAAGGATGTCTATATGTGTATAACTGAGTCACTTTGCTGTACGGCAGAGATTGGCACAGCATTGTAAATCAACTATACTTCAATAAAAAAAAATAATAATAATTAACCCCCCCATGTAACCACCATCCAGATCAAGATGTAGAACATTTATAGCCCCTGGAAGGGTCCCACAGATGTCCTCTAAGTCATTACCAATTCCTTCAAAAGTAACCACTATTTTCATTTCTATCACTGCGATTAGTGTTGCCTGTTTTTGAATTTTATGAGAAGGGAATCTTAAATATGTGTTATTTTGTGTCTAGCTTTTTTTGCTCCACATTATGTTTTTGAAATTCATCCACCCACCGTTACGTGTTGCTGTAACAGTAGTTCATTAACTTTTTATGCTGTATAGTATTTCTTTTTTCCTTTTTAAGAAATATTTATTTATTTATTTGGCTGCATCAGGCCTTAGTTGCGGCATGCGGGATCTTCGTTTGCCAAATGCGGGATCTTTGTTGTGGCATGCGGGATCTTTAGTTGCAGCATGCGAACTCTTGGTTGCAGCATGTGGGATCTAGTTCCCTGACCAGGGATCGAACCCAGACCCCCTGCATTGGGAGTGTGGAGTCTTAGCCACTGGACCACCAGGGAAGTCCCAATGCCGTATAGTATTTCTAGTATCCATTTGATATATATATACCACCATTTATCCATTCTATTGTTGATGAACATTTGGGTTGTTTCCAGTTTTTGCCTATTACAAATAATGCTGCTTTGAACATTTTGTGCATGTTTTGGTATACATGTGTATGGCATGTTTTGGTATACATGTGTATGAGTTTATGTGGGTATAAAATGGGATGGAGTTCTGGGGTTATTGGGAATTTACATGTTCAACATCACTAGATATTGCCAAACAAGATTCCAAAACAGAAGCACTGGATATTGCATTGTATGACGGTTTCAGTTGCTCCACTTCCTTTCTCAGACTTTGTATTGTCAGGATTTTTTTTTAATCCTTTATGATAGATGTGATGGTTTTATTTTGTATTTCTGGTAGTTAATGAGGTTGAGTCTCTTTTCGTAAGTTTATTGCCATTTGGATATCCTCTTTTGTGAAGTGCCTATATAAGTCTTTTGATGATTTTTTTTATTAAATTGGGTCATCTGTCTTTTTCCTAACCATTTATAGTTCTCTTATGTATTTTGGATTGAGTCTTTTTTTCAGATAAAAGTTATACACATGTTGTCTCCCACTGTATAGCTTGTGTTTTCTCTCTCTTAATGCTGTCTTTTGATGAACAGAAACTCTTAATTTTAATTGAATGTAATACAGCAGTATTTTCCTTTATGGTTAGTGCATGTTATGTTTCGCTTAAGAAAATTTTGTTTACCCCTATAGTCATGAAAATATATTTCTTCTGAAGCTATCCTCTAGAAGTTTTATTGTTTTACCTTCAACATTTAGGTCTGTAGTATGTTTGGAATAGATTGTTGTGTATTGTGTGAAGGGAGGGATCGAGATACTTTTTGCCCATGTGAATATCCAGCACCATTTATTGAAGACCACAGTTTGCCCACTGTACTGCAGTGTCATCTTTATCATTAATCATGAGTGAGATGAATGTATGTGTGGGTCTGTGTCTAGACTTTCTATTCATTTTTGTCTATCTGACTGATCTCATACTGTCTTAATTACTACAGCTTTATAATAGATCTTACTGTCTGATAGTATAATTCTTCTAGTTTTGTTCTCCTCAGTATTGCATTGGTTATTGAGCTCATCTGAACCTATTGGGTCTGAAGTTAATGCTGTATTTCCTTGTATTTGTGACCCTCATTTCTTGCATGTTCACACACACATATTCTGCTTCCTAGTAATTACATTCTGCTTCCTGGTAATGAGATTAGGGAGTAATACGTAATATTAACTAAAATGTATTGAGAGATTATGATTTGGTAATTAAGTTTTTTAAGTGCTTTACTTTATTTAAAAATTTTTTTCTAGTTTTACTGAGATATAATTTGACGTATATCACTGTTTATGTTTAAGGTGTACAGCATAATGATTTGACCTACATATATTGTGGAATGATTACCTCAATAAGTTTAATTAGCATCCATCATCTCATATAGGTATAATAAAAAAAAGAAAAAGAAAAAATATTTTCCTTGTGATGAGAGCTCTTAGGATTTACTCTCTTCACAATTTTCATACATATACAGCAGTGTTAACTGTAGTCATCATATTGTATATTACAGTCCTAGTACTTATTTCTCTTATAACTGGAAGTTTATACCTTTGGACTACCTTTCTCCAACTCCTCCTCCCTACCCACCACCTCTGATAACCACACATCTGCTCTCTTTTCCTGAGTTGTTTATTATTATTATTACATTTCACATCTAAGTGAGATCCACAGTATTTATCTTTCTCTTTATCTACTTAGCATAATGCCCTCAAGTAAAGTGCTTTACTTTAACAATTATTGAATTCTCTGAACATTTTCTGGTAGGTACTATAATTACTGATGAGGAAACTGAGGCACAAATAGATTAACTTGCCCAAGAAACACTATATTTGCTGAAGCCAAGATAAGAGTAGATAATATAGTTGAAAATTGATTTTCTTTAATGTTAAGCGTAAGGATTTGGAGATAGACATCCACTTTGCTGTTACAAAATTTATTATACCACAATTATATTAGATTATAATGACTTATCTTATAAGTCATTATAATGACTTATATTTATATATAATGACATATTTATCTTACTAATATCATTGTTATGTTTCTGGTTAATATTTTGCCTTTGCAATGGAAGAATAATAGCTAAAACTTATACCGTTATTTGCCAGTCATGTTTCTAAGCATTTTACTTAGAACCCTATTAGCTGTAACACAGAGAGACCCAGAGACATTATATACTATGCTCAAAATCACATGTTTCATAAGTGGTAGAGATGGAATTCAAAGCCACATCATCAGGATCCAGCTTCTGTGCTGTTCTTAATAACTGTTGGAGTGCCACTAACTCTTTTTGACTACTTTTAATTATTTTTCTGCCACACTGAATCAAAATGGCTCTCAATATCTGTGTGTGTGTATGTATGTATGCATAAGGTCAGAAACAGCAAAATTAGCATCTTATTAAAAAGAACACATTCCCTACTTAATTGTCTAATTGTTTACTTCTAGCAACGCTGCCTTTTAATATCTGTTTATGAGGTCTGGTGTAATGTTTCTTTTTTCCTTTGATTTATAGAATCGTTTGGGCTCATAAAAATGGATTTATGTACTAGTAATTTGAGTCACTAGTCAGAAAAACCTTTTCATTTGAGCAGTCAGCCTTGCATTTCTTTTCCCTCTTTGTGTTTTACCTATATTCATTGTTACCTGCTGGTAGAGAAAGTCTGTTTTTTTAATGACCTGCTGTTCTCAAAAGTCTCTCTTCTCTGCATTATAAAGAACACAAACTGGGGAGAAGGGGAGGCCAGGGGAGGGTATGTGCATATGATATATGAAAATACTTAATAGCTAACAAAACTGTTTTTCCAGACTTCTGGAACATTTTACTCAAAATACGTGTCCTTTATTTTTGCTGCTTCCCCCACTTTCCATTCATCTCTGGATTATTCCATATCCTGATCCTTGCACACTTGGAGATTCTAGGGATATGTAAGGAGTTTTCAGATCCACAAATTGGTAGCTCTAAATAACTCTTCTTACTGCATAGGTGTACAAGTTTTCTCTTAGTTTAATTTGGGACTTGATGCAAGTAAACGAAAGTCACTGAGTGCTTCCCCCCCTGCGTTTGAGTAAGTCTGAGCTATATATTTGTCTTAACTTGGAAGCATGTCTTAAATATTTATTAGTAACTTTTCCTTAAAGTGCTAGAAGCAATTTTAAGGTAGAGATGAATGTGTGAATAAGTGAAATGTACCTTTTTTTTTTTTTTTTCTAGATACAGTTTGGGACTTTATCAGATTATTTTGATGCACTGGATAAAGAAGATGCAGCCAATAGAAAGAATAGCCAATCAATGTTCCCGGTTCTAAGTGGAGATTTTTTCACTTATGCTGACAGAGATGATCATTACTGGAGTGGCTACTTTACATCCAGACCCTTTTACAAACGAATGGATAGGATATTGGAATCCCATTTAAGGTACAGTTACCTTTAGATAGCTACATTTATTTTTTCGCTTCTTTTATGTTATCATAACCTATCTGTAGAGTTTTGCATAATATACAGCATTTATGCAGTGTTAGGATGCATTTAATGTAATTGTGAAATTTTAATGCAATCAGAGATGTGTCTCCAAACCATAATCAGATTATTACAGAGGCTTTTATTCTGGAAGGAAAAGCAGTTTATGTAATTAGATTTTCTGGGAGTTGTATTCAATGTTTTATATTTTTCTAATTAAACTACTTATATTATTTGCACACCATGGTAGTATTCAGTGACATCATCGTGTGTCTGCATGTCAGTAACCTGGCAAGCTGAATTGTTGGAAACAGGGGCAAGGGTCAAAAGGAGCAAATAGGGTCTCTCAGTAGCCAAAATGTAGGCCTCAAAGTACATGCTCTAAAACCAATGTACTTTATATGTGGGAGAACTTTAGAGACTCCATCTCGGTTCTTATTTATTTATTTGAAACACATTTCTATAGGTATGATTTTCTGCTTAGAAGAAGAAAATTTGAAAGAGATGAGAACAGATGGAGGCAGAGTGATTGGTTGGAAAAGTAAACAGATATGGAGACGACAGGAAAGTCATTAGAAAAACATAAAAACACTCTAACCCTGCATTATCCAGTTCTTTTCAGTCACTATCCAATAGAACTTTCTGCAGTGATAGAAATACTCTATTTCTGCACTGTTTATGAAGTATGGTAGCCACTAGCCACATGTAACTATAGAGCACTTGAAATTTGACCAATGGGACTGAGAAACTGAACTCTTAATTTTATTTAATTTTAATGAATTTTAATATACATAGCCACATGTGGCTAGTGGCTGTCATAGTGGAGAGTACAATTCTATGTAACTGAGTCTCATTGTTTTTTGATAAAGAGAAACCACCCCAAGGGAATCCTGAGGCTTTTTCTATGTGTGTAGCTCAGGAGAGTAATTTATTTTCATGACAAATTCATTGTCAATTAAGTTCAAAATATGAATTCATGATGATTGATTTTCATGATGAATCTCGGTATTAAAAATAAAAATTTATATCAAACCTACCCTCTTCTATGTACTAATGAATATTGAATATATTTTGGACAGACTTTTTATAAAAATCAATAATTTCTTTAAGAATTGTACTTTTTTATAGTAGTGTGTGTTTTTATTATTTTTACTGTTGTTGTGCTACTGTTCCCACAAACTAACAGTAACTGTTATTTAAAAAGCCTAACCTTTGACTATTTGGGGAGATATTCACAAACGTGCCAGATGAATATACATTATTTGTAACAAAATAGATTTATATATTACAGAGATTTCTGCATTCTTACCCAACAGAATCTTAGTTATCTTTATGTTAGTTATCTTTACAGTTAGTTATCTTTATGTTATTCATAATTTTTGGGTCAAGTATTTTTTAGTGGCAAAGAGTTATGAATATTGGTTCAATCTTAATTTATTGAACTTGTTTAAGGTGTTACTTAAATATATTACTACTGGTAATATATTTTGATAATTCTGCTGCTTTAAACTAAAACAATAAACCTATAGTAAGTTGAATTTCAAAATGTAATTAATTTATTTGAAAATAAGTTAATTGTGTGAAAATGATATTTCATCCTCAGCTCATTTGTAAAAAATGTGTGTAAAATAGAAATGTACAAAGAAGAAAATATTCTTGAAATCCACTTTTTTACATTTTGGAGTATTTATATGTATATATATTCTTTCCATAACCAGGAATACTTGCTCTGGATATATATGCATACATATACATATAATTTCCTTAATTCCTATATAGTGATTCTCATGCCATGAATTTCAGAAGGCTTATAATTTTGTAAAGTGGAGAATATTTAGTTTCTTTAAATTATTTCAACAATTCAAGCAAATTCTTTTTTTTTTTAAGCAGTTTGAATCTCTCCTTGTTTTTTGATACCTTGATACATTTTCATGCTTCCTTGATTTTCCTCTCCATCACCTTAACATGTTTGTGGTAAAGAATCTTCTTATATTTTTCGCTCCATCAAGGCATGTCTCTTTTTAAAGAACTTTTAAGAAACCCATCTTGAACCATGTCCTCAGATGAAAAACATTAAAGATGAAAATTATGAACCCCCATATTATTGCTCAAAACTGTCCTTAAGCTAAAGTATTTTTATTCTTTACTTTAAAATACTAAGAAAAGATGGCATAAGATTTATCATCTTTCCGTTTCTAATGCTAAATTCTCTATAGTTGTTGTATGTTATCATTCAGCACTTGGACTAACTCTTGTCTCTGAGCTGTCTGGCCATCATTTTCTTCTTCTCCTTTACTGTTAGTCTAACACTCATGTGGCCATGCATTTCCCCACCACCTCTCCTCTTAATGTACCTATGTGAGAGTAAATGGCTTTCTGGTGATGAAGTTCATGGTATATGTCTAAGCTGCTAAGAAGAAAGGACGGAAACATTTATCCAGTTCTTACTGCTTTGAGATATTTTTTCCCTATGTTATATGTAAATTGACATATCTTTCTGTCAACAGGTACTGGCTTCTCTTCCTTATATCACTGAGACATGGTGTTCTTTGATGATTGAGAATTTAGATGTATTAGGTGGATACCTTTGTGGTTTTATAGAAATGTTTATTATCAATATCTGTCTTATAAACTGATTGCACTGAAATCATGGATTTAAAAAAAAACACATTTGAAAATGTATCAGTGCCACCTATTTTAGGTAGTAAACTAAAATGTTTGTTTTGAAATAAAAATTAATGACTGTTTTATGCAATTAGGGCTGCTGAAATTCTTTACTATTTCGCCCTGAAACAAGCTCAGCAATACAAGATAAGTAAATTTCTTTCATCATCCCATTATATGATGCTGACAGAAGCAAGAAGGAATTTGGGACTATTTCAACATCATGATGCTATCACAGGAACTGCAAAAGATTGGGTGGTTGTGGATTATGGTACCAGGTAAATATATTGAAAAGTGGACTTAAAACAAAATCTTTTAAAATTTCAGGTCATAAGCTTTTATTTTTGATGAAGTGTCTTTTTTAATTGTAATACTGAATTTTTATTGAAGTAAAAGCACACTAAATCAAACCAATTTCAAAGATACATGTGTCACACCAAGAAAACATTTTCAGTTATGCTGACAGCCCAAAATGCTTATGTTTTGATGAAGTTTTTGATAATTATATCCCTTATAAGGTTTGCTGTAGAAAACCCACCAGTTTTCAGAGTCACCAATTTTTCAAGAAATCTGTTGACAAAGTCCTGGCTGTCTCAACTTTTTATTGTAGTGCATTTCTGTAAATGGAGTAGTAAAACATTATTATAAAACTGATCCCACTTTTCCCCAAGTACAGTGTGGTAATTGAGGTTACTTCTTGACCAAGGATTTGGTATCAAGTAAATCATAGTTATAATCCAGGGAGATAAAGAGCTCCACTTCATTATATAGCCATTTAATTTCATCCTATTTCATATCCATTTGTTCTTGGATACCTCATTTTTTGATAGGGGCATTGACAAAAAAGTTTAAGCCTAGAAGAACAGCCAGGAAGTAGAAGAGCCTAGAAACCTTGTCATATATGGCCGATAAAAGGAATTGGGATGAAAAGCGATGGCCTGAGTATTGATATCAAAGCCATCTTTAGCTCTTGGATGGTCTGTCAAATGAATGACGGAGTAGAACTCAGTTATTTTCATATTGCAGATCAGAAACAATGAGTACAGCCTTTGGCTCAGAATAGCAGAGGGCTTTGTAAACAGTGCTTCCCAATAAGCTTACCTTTTGTGATAGTAAGATTTCCATCATCATACCAGAATTGAGGCTGCCATTCGTTAGGATCAGTGCAGAGGAGATTCCCACACTGGGGGAGGAGTTTTGCCTATTGTTTCACTGTAGCTTAGGTTAGTATTTCTTCCAGATTATGCTTTGATATTATTTTTAAATCATTAAAAATATGCTCTGATTATAGATTTAAAAAGTGAATCTTTTATAGGTATTCTCATATGTGGAAAGTGTACATAGCACATAAAGTCATTATTAAAAAATTGATCCACAACTGATACTACTAATTGTAATGAGGGTTAATTAAATTTTTAGTTACAGTATTTCAACTGCCTTTCACTAAACTTGGGAAGAAAGTATTCTTGAGATTTCATTAGTTGACTTGAGTCTTTAAAAAATATATTCAAGGTAGTACCTTGAATATCTTCTCAGTTTTCTTATGGCAGAGGTATTTGGGATCCGTCTGTTGAGATTGAGCTGGGCTTAAAGTAGGAAAAACTCATTGTATGATAATGATGTTATTTCTTCCACAGAAAGCATTTCTGAAAGTAAGGTCAGATACTCCATTTTTCTTTTTCACCTGTTCCTGTCTTCTTGGTTTATTGAGAGTTTAAAAGTGAGGCTGCTGGGAATCAGACCAGAGCAGAGCTGCTAAGAGGAAATAGAGAAGTCATCCTCCTCCACTGCCTACTTGCTATCTCTCTGGCTGTGATATTGAAAGAGATTTGGGCACAGGTCATTGGATTTTTGCTACAGAACATTTTCTGTCTCATAACCTCTCCAGAGACCTGTCATTAGTTCCTCCATATGTTTGGTGTTGCTTTTAGCTTATAAAAGCATCCCCATACAAAATTGCATCTCAGAGAAAAAAGACACAATAATTCTCAAGTTGTACTTGACATTTGTAAATTTGCTTTGTGAGTACTTCACACTTCATTGAAAAGTCATAAACAATTATCAAGTCATTAGCACAGACATCTTAAGTAGGAAATTTCAAAACACAAGTTAGAGAATTATAAATAAAGAGGCAGCTAGTATTGGGTGGTCTCTTGTCCTTGGATTGTTGACTACTTTTTATTCAGATGTTGGCAGAAATGTCCCAGTGAACAAGTGTATGAGTTAGGGACTGCTTTTGGCTGCTAGTAATAGCATCTCGAAACAGAATTAATCCTATCCTGCTTATTTTTAGGCCATGTGAAAGAAGTCTGCAGGTCACTGGTTCAGGTGTGACAGCTCCACAATGCCATCAGGGCTCAAGGCCCTTTTAGCTCTCTCTTCTGCCGTTTAAGGGTGACTCTTAGTGTCATGCTGTCAACAGTAGATTGAATCTTTATGTAATTATAAACTGGAGAGCAAGCATACATCATGGCATATTTGGATGTTAATTCTAATCATGGCATAATAAATGAATTAGACTGGGCAGTGTCTATGTGGATGTTCAGCTTAAAAGTGGTTAATGGGGCTGTGTGAAGAAGGGATGGTAATGAGGCCAGTTACAGAAAGATTAAGAATTCTGTCAATTGCTAAGTTGTAATAAAGATAGGTAGGAGAAGAAAATGAACAGAGGGTAAGAACGAGACTCCTAACATGTAGATCAAACTGTTGAATAACAGACATGATAACATCTCCTTTAGACTGTAGGAATGGTAGCAAACTAGAAAACTGTGATTCCAAAGTGATGTTTCCTGAACTGTTTCATAATAGGATAAGGGTGGGTTAGGAAATTAGAGGCTCTGAGAAATACCACGTTGATTAAATGTTGAAACATGTAAAATTTTGTTCTACCTAGTTTTCCCCAGACTTATTTACTGTGTTTAGCTTTGTTTTGTTTTCAATAAAATAGCTTTATACGTACCGAGAAAGTGTTTGGGAAATGCGCCTGTCCTTAGCGGTCATCTCATAAGAAGACTGCGTGTGTGCCTTTAGGACACGAAAATTGATTCGTGACATTCACTCAGTTTAATTAGGACTACTTTAATACACTGTAACACATATAAAGTTTTAGCTGATGGAGAACATGACTTATTCTTCATGTTCAGACGACCTCATAAAGATAGCCATGTAGATAATAAAAATAAACTTAGATTGAAGGAGTTGTTTTTCTAACTGAATTGTATTCATTCATGTATATGGTCTTTTAGTCTGGTGAGAACACTTACTACTATGTAGTAAAACATTTGAATAGACTGAGAAATTTAGGTGGATGATGGTCTGAACTTAAATCCATAAGATTTTAATACTATGGTTACAGATTTACTATGTAAATGCATTTAATTCATAACTTATTGATCATGATCGCTTACATCTTTGAAGTTAATCTTAATGCTCTGGAAAAAAGTTATTTCTATCTAATTCTTTTACAATTTTTTTGTTGTTGCATGCCAACAAAAATGTTTTTAACACATAGATCCAAAATTGCTTCCTGTGTTGGGGAAAATAATATAATCACTCTATAAGCATAATAGATTTATTCTAATGGTTGATTGAAAACATGATTAGCAAAGTTTCTCTACAGATTTCTCCAATATGAGTTTACTTAGAGCTACCTGCTCGCTAAAGCTTTAAAAAAGTAAGATTAAACTTGGAAAACAGGCAAGTTTTTTCCCCTATGTGTAGGGCTTCACCAATAGCTGGTACTGAGATTCTATTCCAGAACTGATCTTGAAACAGTTGATTCATAAGCATCCCTTTGGCTCCTCAGACATAATTATACAATTTGAATACAGTTAAGAATTTCAATGACAAAGAAATATAATAAGGACAAAGATAATTTCATTATCTGGATCTGTGAAATACTTTTTTTCTCTAGTTCTTTTGAACAAGAACATGAAACTAAATTCACAAAATATATATTTGAATTCTTCAGGAATTTAAATTCTTTGAAATGTGTATACTGATTGAATTTTTTTGTGAGTGAGAGTTAATCTCATGTCTTCTTTTGTCATTATTTCAATGCTTGTTAAAGATTTTTCTAAAGTAAAGTATCAAATCATTGCTTTTTGGTAGAACGCCTTAGAGCTATTGGGGTGATCATGTTGGCTATTGTTATTATTTGGTATGATATTCATGTAGAATATAAGTAGTTTGAATAAGTTTATGTGTTTCGGGTGTGTCTAGAAAGTTTTCTTATTTTAAATGAATCCTTATCAGTGATACCTTCTGATTCACTTTTTTTTTATCCCTAAGTACTTCATTCAGGGTAAAAAAAAAAAAGAGCCAATTCATCATAGGTTTATTATAGATTTCACTTTGAATACAGGATGAAGGTGATAGTGGTTTGGCCATAATTAAAGAAACTGAAAATATTATATACAGATTTTTAAAAATGTTTTTATTAAAGTATAGTTGACGTACAATGTTGTGTTAATTTCTGCTGTACAGCAGTGATTCAGTTATACACATATATATTTTCATATTCTTTTCCATTATGGTTTAATCACAGGATATTGTATATAGATCCATGCGCTATACAGTAGGACTTTGTTGTTTACCCATTCTATGTATAATAGTTTGCACCTGACTAATCCCAAACTCCCAATCCAACCCTCCCCCACCCCCTTCCCCCTTGGCAACCACAAGTCTGTTCTCTAGGAAAATATTGTATAGAGATTTTTGGGGGGGAATTTTATTTTATTTATTTTTTATACAGCATAGAGATTTTTAAATTACTTCTCAGACTAGTAAAATTTTTGGTTCACAGACTCTTTCATTCATTGATGAATTTAAAGAAGATAATTGGACATTCTGCACTGCTGCTTATTTTGAAGGACAAACGCTCGTATGACTCTTACTCTTTTGATACCTTCCTAGAAATGGTTAGTTGATATCTTCTATTTTCATAATAAAAATGTGTGATTCTTTTGTTCTTGGGTTGGAAAAGGGAGTGAGAAGCTTAATAAAAAGAGACATTGAAATACAATTATTTCTTTTTACATTATTTGAAAGAATTTTTATCACTTTATATAAATTACCTGTGTGTTCTTTCCCATAAGTGTGACTCTATTTGATTTATGGTGTGTATTTTATTCTCACTAAATCTAAGCATGAAAAATAAAATAATGAGCTTATTTCAAGGTATGTAAAGCATACAGGCTTTTAGAACACTTAAGTGATATTGTAAGGTAACTGGACATTATAATTGTTATTTTCCTTAGCTTTAATTAGAAGCTCCTTGATCATATGTTTTCATATTAAAGTAAAAATGCAATAAACAGACTTACATTTTTTAAAGATATGAAACATATGACACAAAAGTAACATAGTAAAATTTTTTGCAGAATTGTCTCTAGAATTCTGATTTATTTGATTCATAGTTAGAACTGCTCATTATGGACTCTAGTCCCCGTAACATATGCTGTACTTGAAATCTAAATACACAATACATGATGCGCACAGACACAAGATTTATTTGTTTTGAACTATGATGGACTTCATGTAGCTGGAAAGAGGTTGTTTTTTTTTTCCTACTGTGCCCTTTTCATGTTTTTTTAAGGTACTATTACATAGCTAACTTTGAAAGAAGTTTTAAAAGTAAAATAAAAATTTCTGTTCATTTTTATAGGATTTGAAACAAAGAACACAAAGTTCTCTGCCACAAAAAAATGTAATAAGTCTGAGTGCGGAGCCAAGGTAAATAGCATAATTTCTCATAAACTTTGACCACTTCTATGACTTAACTTTTTGGGGTTTTCATGATTTTGTTCTGGACCCAGCATATATCATAAGGCAGTATTTCATTTAATCAGCTTACAAATTTAAAACAATTATTTTGAAGAAATGGATTTTCTCCCATGACTGTGTTGTAGTCAATGCTAATAGCTAACACGGCGTTTAGTACCTTGATAGCTGAATAAACTATTATAACAATATTTCTTACAGAATACTTGATGTTGGATGGTAAATATGTAGCTTTATTCTAAAAATTACCTTATATTTACAATATTGATTATTTTTAGAGTGTGTTCTTTCTTGATTACCTTTTTATTTACTTACCTTGTTTTCATTAATCTCTGATCCTGTATTTTTAAATGAAAGAAGAGACGTAATTACTATTAGAAGATAAGGGTTCCTACTGTAAATTATTTACTAGATAACTGTCATTGTGCTTGTAAAACTGCCTCATTTTCACATTGTTGATTTATGTTTAAGTAAATGGGAAAGGTGTTCAGTCAACCTAAAAATGGGGCATTTAATTGATGGCTGCCTCTGATTTACAAAGAAACCTTTTATGTTTTTATTGACAATTATTTAACCAAGTTATCCATTTTTAATGAGCAGATATCAATCAGTCAGTACCCAGTGTATGCAGATACACAGTGTAGTTTTGTAATATAACTTTTTGCTACCTAAATTGAGAAATTGAGTATCACCTGTTATAAATTGTAGAATAAAAGAGTAATTGTAAAGTGTAATTCATGATTTTACACTTTATTAAAATTATTTTAAAATAAATGGAATCAAAGTTATTACAGAAATTTTATAATTGTTAATAAAGTTGAGATTTCAGTTAAACATAGACTAGAGCCTTAGCTGACTAAACTTCTTCAGTAAATAGAAACTTAAAGCATATATAGGTCAACCTTAGAACATGAAGGTAAGTATATTTTAGCAATACTAAAGTATCACTAAAGTAATACTAAAGAGACCCTACATCTCATTTGGCTGGAAAAAAGAAGGGATTAATTTGAAAAGAAAGTTTAAGTCTTAAGTTTAGTCTTGCTGAAGCCTTAAAGCTTTCATAATGCCAGGCCATAGTTAGGATGAAAGGATAATGATATTGAAAGAAAAATCAGTTGTAAAATTACAAAACATTTTCTTTGTCTTAAAATAAGTAATGTTTTGATGAATTTTGGGTTGTATGGGCATTCTTTATATATCGTGTCCCTAATAAACTGTGGTGTCAGTAAATCTATTTGGCTTTTGGCATAATCCTCTTATCTATTACCTTTTTTATCTTTTTCTATTTTGGTGGGGGAAGATCTTCTTTTTTGCTGACTCTAAGAATAACTTATGCTTGCTATAAGTAATTCATGCTCCATCCCCAGCCCATTAGTCTTCCTGTGGGTACATGTTAAGGTGGGTGGGATGCAGTGGGGATGGGGCCATAATGAGTCAGAAGACTCATGCTCTGTGCTCTGTCCTTGCCTTAGCCAGACGTAAGTGATAATTCAGCCTTACTTATGCCAGAGGAAGAAAGTTAGGAGATAGAGGTCTATTACTTAAGGACAGAAAGTTAGGAGATAGAGGTCTATTAATTAATATATTTTTGAGCTTTTAATATTGAAGAGTTTTAATTAAAGATAAACATAAGTAGGCTTTTTGAATCTATTAGGAAAACAGTCACTTTTTGATATTTCCATTTAAACAGTTTGTATTTAAATAGTGTTCTTCATTTTAATATTATATCTTCAGAGTTCTTTTCTACCAAATGTCAATGCTCCTGTTTCCGTAGTTAGGTGAATTGGGAATACTTAGGATTGTCTGATTCCTATTTTTATCTTTATTGTCCTTTTTGAACTTTAGAACCTCATGAATAAAACCACTTATATTTTTGGTTTTAAAATCTATTATTTACTTGTTAGCCACAAATTTTCTGAGTTATTGATCTTTCAGTAAAATCAGTGAAGAATGGAGGACTGACGATGGCCTTTAAAATGGAAGCTACCAAAGTTTTATTTTGCGGGTACCGAAAGTTAAATAATTGTCTGTACTTCTCAGTCTTTAAATTGACAGTTTCAAAAGAGTGGCCATGGGCTTCCCTGTTGGCGCAGTGGTTGAGAGTCCGCCTGCCGATGCAGGGGACACGGGTTTGTGCCCCGGTCTGGGAGGATCCCACATGCCATGGAGCGGCTGGGCCCGTGAGCCATGGCTGCTGAGCCTGCGCATCCGGAGCCTCTGCTCCGCAACGGGAGAGGCTACAGCAGTGAGAGGCCCGTGTACCATAAAACAACAAAAGAACAAAAAAAAAAAGAGTGGCCATAACTCAGTCTTCTATTCTTCGTGAGTCTTCTGTGATGCTCTAAGGCTTAGCTTTATTTTGCTTATAAGAATAATACTTATTTGAACAACATATTATTAATCTAAATAAAACATGCATTCTCAATAGGGAGATGTCTTCCCTAGGAGGCTAAGAATTGGTTCTTGGTGGGGGGGGGGGGCGGTGAAAAAAAACGTATTTTTTTTAATATGCAAAGCACAGATACAGATAATAGTACGTAACAGATAAACATTTTATGTGTAGTATTAAAATTGTGTAGAGGGATGATTAGGAAAAAATGTCTAAAAAGAATCTTTAAGGAGGTTGTAATAAAAAGTTGAGAAACACTGGTCTAAATCCATACAGTTTAAATAATACATGTAAATGAATTTGATCATGCTGTTGGCAACATTACAGTTATAACCTAACATGATTTAGTTTGTGAGTATTTAAAAAGTAGTCCATGATCTGCTGAAAGTGACATAGTACATGTCAGTGTGCCTAATTTAGTTCACAAGGTTATGTGAGCTGTATAGTGAATACATTCTTAGCCTTTGTATAGAAAGCAGATGTGATTAAAAGTTAAAAGTTAGGGCACCCTGGACAAGTCATAAATTGTCTAGCCTTAAATAATCCTTAAATGTACAAAGATGTTTCTGTTTCTCTACATTCACAATTGCCTAAGGAAAGCAACTGTAAGGACACTTAATACAAAGACTTACAGGATTAGGAACTTGGAGAACACTGAGGATGCAAGGTAAAATCTGAGACAGGCAAAGAGATTTCAGTCTTCTTTCAGTATTCCATCTGTTCAGGCAGGACAGGATTAAATGTTGCCACAGCACAGGTCTGTAAGTCACATGGTTTGACAAGGTATAAAGGAACTTTTTTTTAATGGTAGATAATTTGAAATGCCACCAAGTATGTAATCAAAGTTACATCGAGATTGCGTCTGTAAATTTGAAAGTTTAACTTTTCAAGTAATAGATATGTTTTTAGTTTGAGAGTAATTTATTCAAACCACTATTACAAATTTACCTTTAAATGCTTTTAATTTTTAGCAAGGTATTTATTGGTAAGGAATCGTACATCTGTTTCTTTTGGCTAGAAAAAGAAGGGATTAATTTGAAAAAAAAAACATTAACCATGTGGAGACACAAATGAAGTCAATGTTTTCTAGGCTTAGCCAGATTTAAAAAGGACAGAACTCCAAAAAGGCACTCGTTAACCCATTCACTTGGGGTATTGCCATTCGTTTGTTGGATGACCTCCCTGCCCCTCTAATTTAATTTCCTCTGTTTTTCTCCATATATGCTTTTCTTTTGGATTCTAATCTTGATTGAGAACATCATTTTCTTTTTAGCTGTCTAGGTTCTGTAACCCCAGAAAACACTTTGACTTCTGTCTTTTCTCATTCCTTAAGTATCATCAATTGTAGAGTCTTTTGGATTTTAGCTTTACTCATCGCTGACATCCATCCTCTCCTCTCTTTCTGTTACTTGGTTTTAAGCCATCCTTTATGTTTTGCTTGAAGTACTGCAGTGGCTTCTTGCCCCAAGGCCTTTCTCTGTGCCTAAATTATTAACTATAATTTATGTAGTTATCTGAGGAATCTACCCAAAGCAGAACTCTGAAAAAGTTACCTGGCTAGAAACAGCAAGGCTTCTTAGGACCTAGACTCGAAAGCCCTAGAAGGTCACTTTCACTACATTCTACTAGTCAAGCAAGTCACTAAGGCCATCCAGGATATAAGAGAGGGGAATTATTCTCCATTACTTGATGTGAGGAGCATGTGCAGGAAGCAAAGGGAATGATGGCGGTCATCTCTGGGAACTATCTACCACAGTTCGCCACTGACCACCACAATTCACATACCTCCCATGTGCAAAATAAAATAAACTCACCCTCCTCCCAAGTTGCCCAAGATCTCATCCCATTATGATAGTGGCCCCAATTTTTCATCTAAATCAGGTCCAACACGGCTCAGCCATATGGCAGGGAATTGTGATTGGCTTATTTCTGCCAGTATAATTATTTGAAGTTAATCCCACTAGACTGTAAACTCCTTGAGGGTACGAATTATTTCTGTCATTTATGTCCACCACTATGCCTATGGTATGATATTGAACATAGTAAGAATTTAATAAAGATTTGTTGTAATATATTTTATTATTGCTTGAAGAGGATATTAAACTTCAGACACCAGATATGCATAGAATATGGTTCACATTCTATGTGAACCATATTCTATGTGAAAATGTAGTATCCTGGTGTATATTCTCCCCAATTGATTCTTTCATCTAATATTTGTAGGTTGAGTGGCAGAAGACTTCCAATCCACTAAATGCTAATACAAGTAAAAATCAGCAGTAATTCAATATAGCTTTGAATTTGATCAGCATTTAGACAACTGCTCATTTGAGATTTCAGAGTTTCATACTATGAGACTTGAAAAATTTAGGGTTGCATCTCAGCATCATTGCATTCTTGTAGAATGAACTTTGTTGGGGTTGCATTCTTGGGGGCTCTTCAGAATGAGTGGATTCAAAAGATACTCCCAAATACCTGAATGAGTTGCCTTATCAGATCATAAGACTTTTTTTATTGTTGTTGACATAAGAGTATTTGCCTGATTCTACGTTTTGTATTTTTA